ACTAATGTGGTACCATATTTACCCAAATCCAAGATGACCCTGAACTTAAGATGATCCTCCAATAAATAGATTTTGTGCATAGAAATGATATAAGTCTTATAATATTCCATGTATAGAATACAATTACTCTGGGGCTTGTCTTTTTTCAATTTGTATCCCCCCCCCCCCCCGGGGGGGTTGGACCCCCCCCCCCCCCGCAGGTGGTATGAGGTGGTTAAGCAGCTTGCTCCCTACTACCACTTGATGCCCTGCTGCCTGATTCCCCTTGTGCCTGCCTCCCCTCTTCCTCCCCACCCCCCACAGCTTCTGCTCCTCCCTCCTTCTCCCTGCCCTTCTATCTCTTACCCTTGCTCCAGTTCCAGCAGACTCTGTCTGCTGCAGCCTGGTGCACAGAGCCTGGCCCCAGCCTGACCCTGTAGCAGCTGTGTCAGCTCTGTACTGCTGCTAAGGGGCCAGGTTCTGTGCACCAGGCTTCAGCACGGATGGAGTCTGCCAGTGTTTGGGGGGGGAAGATAACAGGATGGGGAAGGGCAGGCAGGGAGGAAAGGCTGCAGGGGGGAAGATGGTGGGGGTGGGGACGGGCAGCAGCTGCAGCTCTAGACCCAATCCTAGGTTGGGGCTAGAGCCAGAGCTGCAGCAGCTATCTGCCCCCCTGTACTCGATTCCAAGACAAAGGAGCTGCTTTCTCTCCCTCCCTCCCATTAAAGTGGGGCAAACTCCATTTTGGAATTGAGTAAATACATGGTAGTTGTCTGGCACTGCTACTGTTTAATGATTGATTTGTGTCTGTTCTGCCTCTGCCTGATTAACCCAGAGTACTTTAAAAGTATCTGTTAGTCACTTCAGCTACATGACTAAATATTTCTCTTAATCAGCTTGATGCCCTATTTCTTGCAATTAGTATATCCATGCAAAAAATATTTGGATGACTGAGTCAAGATTCTCTGAGCTCTAACAGCAAAGTGAGACTTTATATCATCATACAGTTGATGGAAGAGTCTTTCTCCAGGCTGTTGTGAAGCCTGTCACACCATGCTTCCTATCCCAAGGGGAAAAAGTCACAAATTTACTCCTAATGTATGCACTTCTAAGTGCTCTGTGCTGTTTTGTCTTGTCTCATAAAGTGGCAGCCAGGCAGCTCTAATTCTGTCTTCGCATGTAGAGAGGAGCAGCAGTTTGTACTTCAGCCCTAGAGCTGAGTCCTGAGTTGGTGTTCAGTGGAAAGTTCAAAGGCACCATTGCATTCATCAAGCAAGATGCTGCAGAGCCTAGTCATTGAATAGAACTTGAAATGCTGCAACTTTCTCACAATCAGCCGCACGTTTTCTGGTGGCCTTAGATGCAGAAACATCCAACACCTGTAAAGATGTATTGGTGCCCATTAGTCCTTGGCTTCAGAAGGGACCAGAAGTGTTGAGGCTACAACTGATGGGCTCCCCACATATTTGCAGACTGAAAGCTGCCTTGTCCAGCCCCATGCATGCCAGCACCTGAAGCTGATGGAGAGGGGGGAGTGCTCTCCTATTCCCCCGGGTGCTCACACTGTCATGGGGAAAGGGTGCCAGCAGGTGGATATGGTAGAGCTCCCCCATTCCCATGCTGTCCTCATGCCAGCTGGTGAGCTTAAAACCCTACCATGCAGCTGATTTACCCTCTGACATGTTCAGTTTAAGGCATGGAAACCAGAGACAAAGGTGTCCTGCATGTGCCATTAATTGCCCGAACTTGTAGTACATTTACTGTTTATGGTGTGATTAACTGGCTACTTGCACCCATAAATGTAACGCCTGTTGGGCCCCTCTATGATGGGCATGACTTGTACATCCTGAAACATTTCTGAGTGGCTCTGTGAAGCCTACTTCAGTTTGCATCTTTGATCCACTTGCTATTCTCTCCTTTTCTCCCACTTCACTAACTCTAAACACAGCATTGATTCAACATGTTTCTGCCTAGTGGTAACTTTTTTTCTTTGGTATGTTTCTCCTACTCTCATAGCTGTGTGCTCCATCCACTGTCGTCACTGTGTAGATTGCCTCTCTCCATGCAGCATGCATTTACCCTCCCCATCACATCTTAAAATCTGCTTTTGCCTCATTCTACTGTCTTCCATAAAAAAGAACTCAGATCTGTCTGGTGCACTGGACTGTAAGTGCCCTTGGGGAACATGCCTTATCTCTCCACATTCTGTACAGTGCTGAACATGTTTTCAGTACTTTGCAAATGCAGCATAGCACAGGCCAGTAAAATCCACTGTGTTTTGAGCATTGAAGGTCTCTGATCCTTGCTTGGTTACAACAGTGCAGAAGGAGCTGGGGTGGAAACTGTCTGAATTTTCCCTCATAGAAGAATCCTAAAAGGAGCTGGAGCTGGCAGTGTCAAGTCTGCAGCCCTAGTACAGAAGCTAGTTTGAAACCTGGTGGGACAGGCTGTGCTCCAGCTGTTCTTCGCCTGACAGATTGTTCTTTGGAGCCAGTACTGGCTGGCAGAGTTAGAGCAACCTGGGATCTCCTCTGTACTATCTTCAGTATTGACATAAAACTGACCCCAGGATGGGGGAGTTAGTTGACTCCTTGGGGCATCCTACTGCGTGCTAAGCGCAAACCGGGCACAGTCTGTGAGGATTTGGGCCAAGTTGCATTTTTTTTTTTTTCTGATGGTCTGTCTGACAAGTGTTCAGCTGTGAAGCGCCAGGGCATTCAGTCTGTAACTCAGAAATGATAGCAGCATGGGGACTTAAGGGGTCTTTCCTACCAGAACATGCTCTGCATTGCCCGATTTTCACTCCTGTAGAATTTTAGGCTTTTTTGCCACTGAGGCATGTCTGCTTCAAGTGTGAAAAGAAACGTAGACTTGCCATACTTCCCCACAGCAGCCTGTGCAGGTCTGGGCCTCCACCCAGCAGAACCAATCAAGGCTGGAGAGCCCATTCCAGTCTAGCTTCTTTCTGAGCCAGATCGGCAAACAAGGTGTTGGTAATGGTGCTTTCCATGAACAAAATAGGATGCAGTTCAGCAAAGACAAGTGCAAAGTGCTGCACCTGGGCAGAAAGAACCACCACCACATTTACAGGCTGGGGGATGACCTTTTTCAGCAGCACAGCAGCGGAAAGGGATTTCTCAGTCATAGTTGACTCCATAATGAACATGAGTTGTTAGTGACACAAAATGATCAACAAGGCTAACAGGCAGACAAGGTTCTTTGGGTGAACCTGATATCTTTTATTAGACCAACTAAATAGTTGGAGAACAATTTTTAAGTAAGCTTTCGGGTACAGAAACCCTTCGTCAGGCTAAGGAAGTTTCAGCAGTTGGTGCGTGCTCTTCCTGGATGGAATGAAAAGTAAAAAAAGCCAGAGGCTGGGCTGGGCTGCATACAAGACAGGCAGTCAGTGAAAATGTAGATTGAGGAGTCAATGGGTGAGAGACAGGCTGGGTGCGGGGGAGAGAAGGGGGATGAATAGTGGAGAAGTACCTGGGGAGTCAGCTGTCAGGCAGGTTTATAATGTATTATAACATTATAAGGTTATAATGTATTATAACCTGCCTGACAGCTGGGTCAGAGGCCTACAGGCAGGCTCTTCAAGGAGAGACTGAGGAACCTAGATCTCTTCAGCCTTTGCAAGAGAAGGCTGAGAGGTGATATTGTGCTTGCCTATAGTCATCAGGGGAGGGCACCAGGGAATAGAAAATGCTTTGTTTACTAGGGCACCCCCTGGAGTAACTAGGAACAATGGTCACAAATTGACAGAGAGCAGATTTAGGTTGGACATTAGAAAGAACTTCTTCACAGTAGGGATTGCCAGAATCTGGAATGGGCTCTGGAGGAGACTGGACAAGCACCTGGCTGGGGTCATCTGACCCCAGCACTCTTTACTGCCCAGGGCAGAGGGGCGGACTTGATGACCTACTGCGCCTGCCTGACAGCTGGGTCAGAGGCCTACAGGCAGGCTCTTCAAGGAGAGACTGAGGAACCTAGATCTCTTCAGCCTTTGCAAGAGAAGGCTGAGAGGTGATATTGTGCTTGCCTATAGTCATCAGGGGAGGGCACCAGGGAATAGAAAATGCTTTGTTTACTAGGGCACCCCCTGGAGTAACTAGGAACAATGGCCACAAATTGATGGAGAGCAGATTTAGGTTGGACATTAAAAAGAACTTCTTCACAGTAAGGGTTCCCAGAATCTGGAATGGGCTTCCAAAAGAGGTGGTGCTCTTCCCTACCGTGGGGGTCTTTAAGAGGAGACTGGACAGGTACCTAGCTGGGGGTCGTCTGACCCCAGCGCTCTTTCCTGCCCAGGGCAGAGGGTCGGACTTGATGACCTACTGAGGTCCCTTCCAACCCTAACCTCTATGATGCAGTTGCCTATTCAGTGATGAGAAGCTTAATATCACTACTGGTTTGCATTGCACATGAGGGGCAGCTGTGCAGTGCTTGTAGACTGGGGACTATGCTTCACATCAGAGACTTGCTGTGTGCTACATCATTCTAGACTTCTGTTTCCAGCTCTGCCACCGACTAGCTCTGTGACTTGGCAAGACACTGTACTTTTTGCTGACCTCACTTGATCTCTGTATGCAGTGGAGGGAAAGAATCATGCGTGCCAGGATTGTGATATGCTGGATGGAAAATGCAGGGGATGAGGAGCTGGCAGCAAGCGCTACCGACTTTGACTCATTGCTGACTTGGGCTGAAATCAGACTGGTGACCTAGAACTGAGAGGTTGTGCATCTCATTACCAAACCCCTCAGCCACCTAGTCATTCATCTATAATTATATTTGACATATGAATATGTCGTGGGTTTTTGAGCTACATACATACATACAGAAAGTGATTTTGTTTAAGGTCCTCATTTAGCATCCAAATGTGGCTGGGCAGCCTGCAGCACAGGTGCCACGGGCAGTCTGTGGCACATGGCAGAGTGGGGAGGAACCAGGCAGCACAGCAGCAGATAAGGCTGGAAGCAGAGCAGCTAATTGGGTAGAAGAAAGGATCAGAGGGCACTTGATGGGCTTGGGACTAACTTATGGCACACCTGCCAGAAAGGTTGGTTCCTGCTAACTAGTGCTTTCCAGTTAGCTTGTTTAAGGACTAATTGACTTGTGTTCTTTCAGTTTGCAGTGTTGATGTGGGTGTTCACGTATGTTGGCGCCTTGTTTAATGGTCTGACATTGCTGATACTGGGTAAGTGCTTTAATCAGGTTAATACTTGACATATAAAATGACCCTGGCAGAGCAATGCAGTGAATTTAGTGCTCAGATGTTATCCTCTTGTTGCTCAAGTGCAGAACAAGAAAATACAGCTTACTGCATGATCTTTTCTTCTTTTAAATGGTGCCATAATTGGAAAGGTGGTAGGTTCAGTATTTGTCTTCAGGGCTTTTTAGGGCAAAGTAACATCATTTAACAGATACTCCATTCTGCTTGTCACTGGGCTCCAGTGCTAACTGCTGTTCTCTTAAGTGATACAGCAATGGAAAAATTGGTTATGGTCACCTCCTGCCAAGATTCTGACCAGAAAGCAGGGTAACCAACCCTTTCAGCAGAGAATATCCCCTTCTGGCTCGGGGCCTATACAGCGATGCTGCAGAATTTCCAAAATCTGCACTAAAGAAAATATCCTTTATTGTATGTCAGATGCACAGATTTTGAACTGATATTTCAGCCAGATATTTTCGCAGTATAATGTAATTACTTCTCTCACCCTCAAAATAAACATCAAGCAATGAAAGCAGGATTAAAATTTTTAGCCAAGCAGCTTATTACTCTTGTTTGTATCTAACCCATTTTCTGTTCCTTTCCAGCTTTGATTTCACTCTTCAGCGTTCCTGTTATTTATGAGAGACATCAGGTGGGTGTGTGGTTAACATGATCCATTCAGTATCCTGTTTTTAAGAAAGAAAAATCCCTCGTGTTGAATCTGGAATGCTTAAGAATTTGAAACCTGACTTTAATCTCCCAAACTGCTAACTATGAAACGTATTTGTCGTTCTGACAACAGCCAGCAGTATTGCCATTAGTATATTGACCCTGGTGTAGTTGCCTTCCCCTGTAGGTGAAGGCTTCTCATGTCAGCAGTTTTAGGATAGGGCTGATTAGCATGGTTTTTCACTCTCTTGCTCTGTGCAGATTTGTCTGGTACCAAAGCAGCAGTGCATGTAAATGAAAGTGTGTAGTGTTTGGAGAAAGCTCCTTTGCATTGGCATCTCAATTAAGATTAGAGTCCGTAGACTTTGTAGCAGTAGCTAGAACACTGCAGAGAACCCAGCACAGCTCCAGTACATCTGTCAGCTGATCTAACTGGGGCAAGTAGAGAAGCAGAGTTCAGAATAAAGTAAGGGAGATGGACTGTAGCAGAAATAGGCAGGAACTGGATGCAGGAGGGCACAGGGCAGCAGGGCAAGTGATTTCTGGTATGGGCTCACCTCTGGCTGGGAGACTAAATGAAGAGAGCAGTGAGGCTCAGACCAGTTTGTACAGATTCCTGGCATCTCCACTCAAGCCCACCCATGCAGCCAAGGCTGCCCAGCCCTAGAAAATGATGCCCTAAAATCTAAGGGGAGTTCCAAGGCTTTGGGGAAATAAAAAAGACTCTTATTCCTTTTTAAGTTAAGTTCCCTCATCCTGTTAACTTCAACCAGTGGTGCCTTCTAAAAGCCTAGAAATAACAGTCCAGCCTCATAGAGTTTCCCATGGCCCAGAGAATGCAGAGGAGCTGAACAAATTCCAGCTGCCACTGGGAAGTGCTGGAGATCTGACGTGTACTGGGAAGTCAGTCACTTGAATCGCAGTTGTAGGAATCAAGGCTGCCTTGGCACTGTGCAAGCCACCCTTGGGATCTGACTGACCAGGTGAATGGTGCTGGCTGGAACACAGGGGCTTACCAGTCCGTCCCACTCTTTCTTCTCCTCTCCCCTTTCACCTGTATAGGGCAGAGGTACAGACAAATCCCTGGTTTGGAAGCATCAGTACCAGCAGTCCCTGAAAATAAAACAAGCTGGCAGGATGATGAATGTACTTGTTTTCTGTGCCCAACGGTCTTGGTTATCCATCCTGAAGTGGGAGAATGAGGAAGGGGTTTTGAACTGCTGATAATTGGGCAAGTTAGAAATGCATAGAGCACTTGATGGACTATTTGTTAGTGTAAGCTCACGTATAGTCCCTGCTGCATTACATGCATTTCAAAAGGCAGGCTTCAATGCTGACTTGCTGCCTGTGCAGATCAAACTCCACAAAGCTGCAGGAGCTGCATCTCCAATGGCACTTTTTGCGGTCTGTGGATAGGATGGGGTAGAAGGGAGTTGTGAGATTTGCCCTGCAGCTGGTAGTGCTTGTTGCAATGAACCCACCCTCTGTCTGTCCATGTTATTCTAGGAACCATTTTTACCACCAGGCATTGACCACAGTAGAGCACTGTTTACACTAGAAGCTGGGATGCTTCACTTGCTGACTGGGAGAGAGCGGAGGAGAATTGTGTATACCTGTGTTCTATAAATGCTGTTCGTAGTCCGAAGCACCAAAATAAATGCCCTGATGGCACCTTGCTTTTCTTTAGCATTTTTTTCAGGGTTGGCAAAAACCCCCTGCGGTGTAGGAACACAGATAACTTATGGCCATGAAAGAGATTTTCTTGACTTTTAACACTTCTGTCTTTTTAAATTTTCAGGCCCAAATTGACCACTATTTGGGACTTGTGAACAAGAATGTCAAAGATGCGATGGCCAAGTGAGTTTGCTTATATTGCTTGTTTTAAACTGGTTCCATAGACTTCCTGAAGTATGGGCAACTCCTGTGTGTGTTCAGGAGGTTGTTACAATTGGTAGGAAAAAAATGCCCACAACTTGTTTAAAAACTGTGCAAGATGCAAAGAATCATCTCACTTCTTGCTGGTGCAGTTAAAATATTTGATAGAAAATGCTTGAATCATGCAGTTCTGTTAGAAGTATATGGATGAGGCCAGTGGAGAGAGCCTTAAGTCCTCTGCAGATCATGGCTGAACCAGTTTCCTTACTACTATTATTCACGTGTCCATTATTACCATCCAAACAGTGATGTTTTTGAGAATGTTTTCTGCTTTGAACTTTACTTTATTTCTTTCCTTATATGCCTTTCCTTTTGTTTCCCTGTTCTTCCTGTAGGATCCAAGCTAAGATTCCTGGATTGAAGCGTAAAACCGAGTAAAAAAAAAAAAAAAAAATTGAAGCAACCGATCAATAGGATGTTCATCTATAATGGGGGAAATACTCATTTGGATTGTGTGGGGGAGGGTCAGGGGTTAGCAAAACCTTGACATTGCAGTGCAATTTCACAGATCTTTATTTTTTAGCAACACAGTGTTTGAGGGAAAAATACCTGTTTTTGACTGCCATGTGTTTCATCATCTTAAGTATTGTAAGCTGCTATGTATGGATTTAAAACTACTCATCTTTGTTTATCCTGTGTGCAGCACTGGCTAATACAAAAGATTTAAGAAAGCTGTACATTATGCTTCATCAGAGGTAGTCCTGCTGCGTTCCAGAAGAAGTAGTGCAGGTGGGGCGGAGGCTAACACTTCCCAGTTTGTGCGCTGTGTCTGGTCTGTGTAGATTGATGCAGGTTTTCTAAAATGAGATGTTTTAGAAGAATATACCGTTCTAGCAAGTTTGAAAAGAACCTTGCTTTTGGTATGAGTATAGCTGTATTGTGATTTTATTGTTTTATCAATTGCCAATTATATATATATATGTGTTTCACAAAGCTTAGGTCTTTCAGCTGCTCCACAGTGCTTGATATTTCAGAGACTTGACTGATTTTTAGGACTAGCTCCATAGCGCACAAGCTTGAAAACCAATTAAAATACTTCTAGGAGCACTAGCATCAGTTTTAAAAAAGCAACTATGTACAAATGAACTTCCACATCTATATATATGAAACCTACAGCGTAAACTTTGTTGCATAAATATACTGTAGCTGATTTTGAGTAAATACTTTTACAGTCTCTCAAACTCTGCTAAACTGTGGACCGAATATCTAGTGCTGCAAATGTTGTTTGGAAATTTCGAACGTTGTTATGCAAGAAATTGAAAATTTATACACTTGCAGTTTAAGCTGTATTGAACTAAGTCCGTGGAATGCATTGTGAAATGTAAAAACAAAAAACCCAAGTATCAATAAAGCTTATAGACTGAAAAAAATGACATTTAACTTTTGCAAGATTAGTTGATTTATACACTGGTATTTATTTTATTTAAACTTGGTCAAATATACATTTTCTGTATTTTCAGCAATTAGTGTGCTGGTGGAAGTCTCTTCTGATAGACTGCAGTTATGAAGCAGGGAAGGTGCCCTGAAAAGAATCTAAATCCACAGCTTATTCCAGCAGTACATCCAACCATTTAGAGAGTGGTGCAGTTTGGGGGTGCTCAGTCCCTGGCCTACAGGTCAGATCCAGCCCCCCGAACCATGTCATCTGGCCTGCTCACTAGATTGGGCATGCAGGGTCAGCATGAGGCCTGACCCCAGTATGTTAGGGTGAGATGTGGGGGCCTAACCAGGCCATGGACTGGCCCTGTGCTATTTATCTGGTGCATGGTGCCAAAAGTTTGAGTGCCCCAAGGTATTTGATTGTGGTGCCAGTAAGTCGGTTGCATTCAGGAAAAGGCAGTTGGAATGAAAAAAACTCTATAATGCAGAAATCAAAATGAAATGTCTTTTGGAACGCCTCTATTTTGAGGGATGTCGCTCATTTTATTCCCAAACTTGTTTGTTTGGTGTGTTACATTCATTGCTGCAAATTGTATTGGAAATGCAGATGGATGAAACTGAGGTTATTTGTACTAAAAGGACTAAATTTTTTTTTTTAATTCTTTCTTGGGGGTGTCCTGTACACGGCATTCCATATCTGGGCTGTCAAGAGATGATGGGGGATCTAAATAGTCCAACATTTTTTAGGTAAACGTCAATTTTGTACTAACTAGACAGTAAAAATGAAAACAACAATGAAAATTAATAACCAAATTTATTTGACACACAGGTGTTTTGAAATCATACTAATCTTGGCCATTGAAAAATAAATTCATGCATGAATATTTTAATTTACAATATAATACAGTATTACTTTTGAGGATATTTATACATAACAGACCATATAAACAAATACAAATCATATTTAAGTGTTTTCCTGACAGACACTATTGCTGTTATATATTTTTACCATATCACCATTGATCAATTCATTCTGCCACACAATTATTTTTATTTAGGATACAATCAATATGAAAGGCCAACATTACAACATAGGCAAAGAAGGTGCTCAACCAACATCACCAGTCAATATGGTTATATTAATTCAGAAGAAAGTTTCCTAAAAAAAAAAATTAAGTAGGGACTTCTGTGTTGCACAAACTGACCTTCTGTAGAGTAGTGTAAGGCATTAATAAATTCCATCAATTCAAACAAAAGACTGAGGTTGCTGAAGCACTTTTTTGTGTGCTTTTTGTATATACATTGATTTACTCTCTTAATGGGCCCTACTGTCCCTCATTCCAAAGACACTGTACGATCAACAGCTACTTTCTCATCAGAGGTGTGTGGGAACTGGAGTTTATTTCTATGATTTCAAAATGTTATTTTCCTGAATTGGACTGAAATCATCACTATTCTGTATTTCACAAGAAATGTTCAAAAAGGTCATCTCTGATCAGTGAGAACATTTCAAGTTTGTTTCTTTCCACCCTAAAATAGACCTCTCTAAATTTAAAAAGGCATTTTAAAACAGAATTGAAACATGCCATTCAGAAAATGCCAAACCAGAATGTCTTAATCTCATAAAAATGTTTGATTCCTTTCCTGACAACAGTGCATCAAAACTAACTCTTTCATGGGCTTGGTTTTGAGAGGTATTCTCTGACTAAATGTGTTGGAAAATTTACCAGCTTTACTCATTGTTGAGGTACAAAAAAAAGCTCTTGAGGAGGAAGAAAAAATAGTTTCCACTTTAAGCAGAATGAGTCTATGACTTCAACACAGCAGCTCCACAGCAGGACTTTGGGTACAGGTATCCATTCCTATAGGATGTTGCAGGCCACGTAGGGCTGAGAGAAGAGACACCGTACTTTCCAGGAAACATCATGCTTCCAGTAAACTGAGTAGCACCACAGCTGCCTGTTTGCTGTGGCTAAACAGCACAGCCTTGTTAAATTAGAAAACGGTGTCAAGCGATTTCTGCCACTGGTTTCCCCATCCTTCATGGCCTTCAGTTAGCATCTTTCTACCCCCTGCTATATGAATAATGGGAAATGATACTTCTTGGAAGTGTCCAGAGCACTTCATTAACTTCCTTTGCCACTTACTGTGGAACTTTATATTTATCTTTCCTACTACCTAAAACACATTTTTTTGTGTGTGCTTCCCACCTCCAGGCTCTGGGTGGAGCTTAAAAGCCTGGGCTTAATCTATTGCTTTCTGGGGCCAGATGCACTCCATCCCGTGGTAAACTGCCACTAACACTCCAGATTCAGTAATTGCTCTTACAAGGTGTATAGTCAGTCCCCTGAAGGGAACAGGTTGCAATTCAGTTGTGGAAGTATTAACTGTAAAGCAAAATATGGATGACCCACATACACGTCTGGAAAAGGGGTTTGTGTTTAGCCCTCCTCAGTGTGAAAGTTGTAGCACCATATGTAGAAAGCAGACATTAGCGGAAGGCTAGATTGTAGCCTGTTTACTATTGGAAATATCTTTTTCAAAGGCACTTTGTGGAGAGAAAACGGCCAATGGAACATACTTAAAAAAGAGCTTTCAAATGCAATACTTGGCTCGTTAGCTTACTGAGACCTAAGACATGAGACCAGCTGTGCTCAGCGCAAGTTAGGCAGAGCTTTGCTTACCCCGCATTAGATTCCACACTGGACTTCTTAGCAGTTGTTTAAAATTGTGAACGTTCCTGTCGGAATGTATATAAACAAAAAAAAAAAACCCAACAAAAAATAATCCCACAATGAATTTTAAAGTTATGCAAGTCAAAAGGGCAACTGTGCCCCACAAGCTTTCTTGATGAGCTGTACTTTTGTTGATGTGGTTTGAACAATAAAATATTTAGCAAAAGCAGTTCAACCATGGAGCACTTCATCACCCAGGCCTGGGAACAGCTGTTACGAACAAGTGCCTTCTCCAAGGGCATTGCAGCCTTCCAAATGCAATCTCATAGTAGCACTCGTAACCACACGCATCTGAAAATGGGTAATCCATGCAGCATTTGTGTAATAAAATAACAGCAGCCAAAGGGGAAGAGGTGTTGACTCTCCAGTCTTCTGCCATTGTAGAGTAATTGCAGCAGAGGCCAGGGAGTTTTCCTTTCAAAGGCATCTCCACACAAATACACTAAAAATAAAGTAAGTACTGATAAAGTTGACCTTACAGAGCCTGGTGATAACTGTTAATTTAATGTGAAAGTGGAGAGATTATGGAAGTTTTGGCTACTCTCGAGTTCATGACTTTTAGGCCTGTGCGAAGTGGCTAGTATTCCCTTCAGATTCAGCCACTTCAGGGGACTGATTCAGTTGGGTGATTTGAATTGCTGCCCTGATTTGCTTTGGCTGAATCTGATTTGGAAATTCAGCAGCAGCCGAATCTCAGAATCAGCCAGGCCCATCCCCCGCCCGTCTCCCAGCCCAGCAATGGCTGCCCTGCCCAGCCCCAGCTCCCTGCACTTGTGGGGGGGCAGGGAGCCCTGGCTCAGTAGGTGCTGCTGGCCCTTTAAGAAAACCCCCCCAAAAAACCCTCAGGACTCACCGCTCCTGCTGGTGGGGGGTGATCCCTGCTGCCCCGCGCCACATGGGGGGCTCTGCACGGACCCCTGAGGCTGCACCAGGAGCGGTGAATCCTGGGCTTTTCTTGGGTTTTCTTTTCTTAAAGGGCCAGAGCTGACCTGGGCAGGGCACCCGGGGCGGGGGCTCATGGCAGAGCCCTCCATGCAGTAGCACCTAGTGAGCCCCGGGGCTTTTTTTTTAAAGTACTGAGCTGGCGCGCCCCCCCCCTCCATCTCTAGTACTTACCAGCTTGGGGTCAGCTGCAGCTCCCTGCTGCAGCTACTGGGAACTGCCCAGATCAACAAAGCTCTCCAAATCTCTTCCAAAGATTTGGAGAGCTTTGAATTAATTCGGACCTTTAAATTCGCTCCCCCCATTTGATTCGGACTCAGAGATTCGGCCACCTGAAGCGTCGCATAATCCTAATGACTGCTCTCAAATGTTAAATGCCTGGCAATTTTTTCTAGTTAATCTGACAGTTTAAAACGGGCTGTCCAATTTCTAAGCAGTTGGGTTGGGGCGGTGGCAGTGGGCTGCGCACTGCACACAGTAAGGTATACCTTACATGAGGCAGATGGCAGGGTGTGTGGGTTTTTGGTTTTTTTTAAAAGGCCCTGGTTTTTACACATTGAAGCTCGTGCTATTTAAGTCCATAAACATCTTTTTGGTCCTGTGATAAGCTGGTCAATATGCAACACCATTCCATAGTGAGAAGCAAGTGGTTCAGGTGAAACCAGCATTTAACAACTCTTTGCACCAGTGGGCCAGAATGGCTCACCGGAGATCTGAGAGAATCTGGTGCTAAGACCCAGGTGCCTCCTTCACTGCTTCTTTCCACTGCCTGATTGCTGTGTGGCATGGGATAATGCCCTAGTGTCCAGCTGCAGCATGGTGCAGTGTTGGTGAAGCCCCTCCTATCACCCCTGCCAGCTGAATGTCACTGCAGCCTCCCCCGCACTACAGACTGAATCTGGCTCATGGGCCATAGGTTGCTGACTCCTTATTTAAATAAACTTCTTCCCCCTGTGTATGCGGCCATGTGATCAAAGGCACTGCAGGGCCAGAGACTGGAACATCTAGTCTTGTATGGGTGGGTTTAATCCCGTCTGCTTCACACATTTTATCAGAAACATCACAGTTTCAGAGTTGGTTGTGGTTTATGACCAAGCCAAAAAACCCCCCAAACCCAGAGCTAATGTTAGAAGGTACAGGCTAAGAAGCTGGGCTGTTTCGGGACAGCCACTGTTGAAAGGAAACCCTGCTTGTGTCCTCATACAGTAGGGGTGGGCAAAATATGGCTTGCAAACCAGATGCGGCTTGCTAGGCCATTCTATCCGGCTTGTGGGGGCCCCCTAAAAAATTTAGAACATTAATTATCTGCCTCGGC